ACGGAGAGGAGAGAGGAGGAGGAGAGGGAGGAGACAGAGAAGGAGAGAGAAAGAGAGAGAGGCGTGAGAGAGAGAGAGAGAGAGAGAGAGAGAGACGAGAGAGAGAGAGAGGAGCAGAAGAGAGGAGGAGAGAGAGACCCTGAACGAGGAGAGGAGAGAAAAGAGGGACGACGGAGGGAGGAGGGAGGAGGTGAGGGAAGGAGGGAGGAGGAGGGAGGAGAGAGAGAGAGAGAGAGAGAGAGAGAGAAGAGAGAAGAGAGAGAGAGAGAGAGAGGAGAAGAGAGAAGAGAGAGAGGAGAGATGAGCAGAGCGAGGAGGAGAGACGAGAGAGATAGAGAGGAGAGAGAGAAGAGAAGAGAAGAGAGAGAGAAAGAGAAAGAGAGAGAGGGACGAGGAGAGAGAGAGAGAGAGAGAGAGAGAGAGAGAGAGAGAGAGAGAAAGAGAAAGAGGGAGAGAGGAGAGAGAGGGAGAGGGAGGAGGAGAGAGGGAGGAGAGGGAGAGAGAGAGAGAGAGAGAGAGAGAGAGAGAGAGAGAGAGAGAGAGAGAAGAGAGAGAAGAGGAGAAGAGAGAAGAGAGAGAGAGTGAGAGAGGAGAGAAAGAGAGAGGAGAGAGGAGAGAGGAGAGAGAGGAGAGGAGGAGAGGGAGGGAGGGAGAGAGAGGAGAGAGAGAGAGGGAGAGAGAGAGAGGGAGAGAGAGAGAGAGGAGAGAGAGAGAGAGAGAGAGAGAGAGAGAGAGAGAGAGAGAGAGAGAGAGAGAGAGAGAGAGAGAGAGAGAGAGAGAGAGAGAGAGAGAGAGAGAAGAGAGAGAGAGAGAGAAAGAGAGGGAGAAGAAAGAGAGAGGGAGAGAGAGAAGAAAGAGAGGAAGAAAGAGAGAGAGAGAGGAGAGAGAGGAGAGAGAGAGAGAGAGAGAGAGAGAGAGAGAGAGAGGAGAGAGAGAAAGAGAGAAGAAGAAAGAGAGAGAAGAGAGAGAGAGAGAGAGAGAAGAGAGAGAGAGACGAAGAACAGAGGAGAGAGAGACGAGAGAGAAGAGAGAGAGAGAGAGAGAGAGGAGGAGAGAGAGAAGAGAGAGAGAGAAGACAGAAGGAGAAAAGAGAATAGAAGAAGAGAAAGAGAACAAAACAAACAGCAATCAAACAGACAGGAACACTCACAAAAAAAAAGGAAGAGAAATTCAAGTTTCTTAAGAAGGTTTTCACGCAGTCGCCGGAAGACGAGGAGAGCCCTGGCGTCTTGTCTCTGGGATCTCTGTCTTCCTTAAGGGGGGGGAGGGGGGCGGGGGGCAAAGGGGCGAGGGGAAGGATAAAGGGAAGGAGGATGTCCATTCCTTACCTTGTTATTGGCTGCTTCCTTCCTCTCTTTCTCGTCGCTCGTTTCTCGGTCTCTCCTTCGCTTATCTTGAATTTATTTTCTGGTCTTCTTTTTTTTTCTCGATTTTTTTTCTTCTTTTTCTTTTTAGTCGTTTTTTTTTTTTCTTTTTTTTTGGTCTTTTTTTTTGGGGGGGGGAGGGTTGTTGTTGTATTGTTATTGTCTGTCTTTGGTTGTGGTAATAATATCATGATTTATTGTTTCATTGCTTTTATCATTAGTAGTATTGTCATCCTTACTTATTATTGTTGTTGTTGTTTTCTGCTGTTGTTGTTTATTGCCGTTTTTGTTATTGTTTGCATTGTCATTAGTATCATTATTACCAATGTCATCCATCGTTATCATTATCATCATCATCTTTAACATTATCATTATATTGTTATCATGATGATAATATTATAATCATCATCAGCATATAATCATCGCTATTGACATCATCACAACTCTCGCCATCTTTATTTCACATATTTTTATCAACATTTATATTTTTCCTTCCGAAATAATATACATTTGATTTTTCCTTCTTTCCCGAATCTTCCAAGACCCAACACAACCTCTGCAGTGACTCGTTCTGACCTTATGTTTCAATCACAAGACATTTAAGTTCAGAACTGCGCAAATTCGAAAGAGAGAGAAGAGAGAAAAATAAGACCTTATAAAAAAAAATGAAAAAAGGAAAAAAAAGGGTAAAAAAAAAGCCTTGTGGATTACATAGAGGAAGGAAGGAATGTGGCCAAAGATTTCTTCTCTTTTTTCTTTTTTTTTTCCTTCTTTTTCTTTTATGAAGACTTTCCTTTACGCGTTATGGAGCGAGTCACAGACGGCGACTTCGTTACCGCCGAAATAATGTTGGAACGCGAGAGTCACATCGAACATATTGGCGGGAAAAAAGATATATATACGACTTCCTTAGAGATTATGTTTCTATAGAAGGAGGGAATATTTCGGGCGCATGTATGAGGGGATATGAGGGGGGAGGAGGAGAATGAGGGAAAAGAGAAGATCGTAAGAGTTGGCGGTTATGGAAGGAATAGAAGGAGAAGGAGGCTACGGCAGCCATTAGCATAGTCGTGTTTTTTTTTTCTTTCTTTCTTTTTTTTTTTTTTTTTTTTTTTTTTTTACACCAATGATTTTTTTTTATCAACCTTGACGAAATTATACCTATTTTATGCAAAAGAGATATTTCATTTTTTATGTGTTTTTTTTCGTTATTTTTCTTGTGTTGTCGTGAACAAAAAAATATGATCATTATGCTTATCGTTTGATGTATTCTGTGGATATTTTTTTATGATTTTTCTCTTTTTCTTTTCTTTTCTTCTTTATATCTATACATTTATTAGCCTATATACAGTTATTTCGTTCTCTTTTTCCTCTCTTTCTCTTTCTCTCTCTCTCTGTCTTTCTATCCAACTATCTATCTTTCTGTCTGTGTATCTCTCTATCTATCCGCCTATTTGTCCGTATATATCTATTTATCTATTTATCTATCACCTTATCTATCTATTTATCTATCACGTTATATATCTATCTGTATCTATCTATCTACTTATATATCTATCTACCTCCCTACCTGACTATTCATCTGTCTATCTATTCATCTATGTGTCTAAATCTAACTTCCTATCTATCAGATATACCCACATACCCACACATCCACATACTCAAATATCCACATACACATACTCACGTACTTACATACCAAATATCCGCATGCCCACATATCCACATCTCCACATACTCACCTGCATACTCTCATACCCACATGCCCAAATATCCACATACTCACATACCCACATATCCCCATGCTCAAATATCCACATACCCACATGTCCCCATGCCCAAATATCTACATCCCCACATACTCACCTACATACTCACATACGCACTTATCCACGTGATCAAATATCCACATACCCACATATCCACATGCCTAAATATCGATATCCCCACATACCTACATACTCTCATACTCAGATACCCACATATCCACATGCCCAAATATCCACATACCCACATACTCACCTACATACTCACGTGCTCAGATGCCCACATATCCACATATCCAAATACCCACATACCCACATATCCACATGCCCAAATATCCACATACCCAAATATCCACATACCCAAATATCCACATACCCAAATATCCACATACCCAAATATCCACATACCCACATACCAGCATACACACACCGCCTCCAGACGCGCGTTTAAGATCTCCCATTCTTTTCCGTCAGAATCTCGGCGTGACTCTCATGTTCCAACATTATTTCGGGGACAAGGAAGATCCGCTTCATAACACGTAGGAAAAAGACTTCACAAAGGATCTGTTATGACCATATTTTTCCTCCTCTCTCTTTTATCTTTTTTTTTATTATTATCATTATCATTATTACGTGAGTTATTATTCTTTTTTTTCTATTTTTCCCTCTTCTCTTTTCTCTTTTTTTCTCCCTCTTTTTTTCTTTTCTTTTTTTTTTGTCATTTTCATTTTGAGACTCGGTGGACGTGGGGTTTTATTCCAACAGATTATTAGGTTTATCAAAAAAATAATAATAATAATAATAAAAATACTTGACTTTTTTTCCTTTTCTTTTATAGTTTCTTTCTCTTCTTTGGTTTAACCTTTAATCTTTCTCCATTTATATTTAGAATTATATTTAATACCTGTTCTTTTACTTTTTTTCATTTCAGCTTTCTATTTTTTTATTCTGTATATTTTCCATTTTCTTAACTAATGCTTTTCGTTTTTTCCCGTCATTACTTAAATGAGTACCTCATACTCTTACTATTATTAAATTTTCAGTATCATCATCATTATCATTATTATCATTATTATTTCATTATCATCATCGTCATCATTATCATTATTATTTCATTATCATTATCATCATTATTATCATTATTCATTATTATCATTATTATTATCATGTTCACTTTCATTATTATAATGATAAGGTTATTATTATTATCATTATTATTATTATAATCATTATAATTAGTAGTAGTAGTAGTAGTAGTAGTATCATCATTATCATCATCATTATTATCATTAATTATTATTTTATCATTATAATTATATTATTATTTATTATTATTATTATTATTATTATTATTATCATTATTATTATCA